TGACAGGGCCAGCATTGCAGACTGTGGCTACCGAACACCTTCCAACTATAATGAAGACCTATCAATACGTAGTTGATCCAAATTTTGCCCAAGTATTCATTAGCAAATTCACCATGGTAAAAAATAAAGCCTTGAGGAAAGGATTTAATTAATAATAATTTGTGGTGACTATAGTAAAACCGTACAGTTTTGAAAGTAATGCTTTCTCTGCAGTAACCTACATCAAGGGGAGATGCATATAATTTTTGAGGTGGTAGGAGATGATAACAAAGTTAAGCCCAATAGCTTTTCTAATCTTGACAACATTCCTCCTCCCTAGCCAAAATACTCACGCTGGAAGGAAAGCGTTCTAGCAAACGAATAAAGTGAAAAGGAACAGCCTTGGACTACAGCTCAGTCAAAATCCCTTTTCCTTTCAATAACCCAAAATCAGAGAATAAGGAGAAATTGCGTGCATACAGACATTTTCGCTACACGCACAAAATGTGCATCAATACCTACTATATCATATTTTAGGGTCTGCCAGTTGCTGTTATAAACCAGGTTTATAACTCAGCTGTAAAAACTTGCTCAAGGCTGAGCCTTTCCCCCCCACCTGCACTCCCCCCAACATCTACATCCTGAGGCAGAACATTTTCCCCCAGTAAACCTGAAAAACCCTCTGTGGCTGTTCTGAGTTACTAGTGGCAGCTGGGGTTTAGCACCACTTCAACCTTAAAATAGCTTCCTTTTTATGTGACTGAAGTCTTGCAGGACATTAGTCCTTAATGTAAACTAGTGCCTTTGTGTGGTTTGGAGAACAAAACGTGAACGACGACATGAATTTATTTTTAAAACTGTCTGTATACAGAAACTTTATGTTATCCACCACCGCATTTTCAGAAGGATTTCCAATGTATCTAAGACATTGTGCGTTGTCTGGTCGTTAGCTGGAAGCCAGGAAGATGCAATTCAGAAATTTAAGAAGCAGCGCTTAGGCTCCTTAAAATCTACCAAAAATCTGTAAGCTCAATGTAACATCGATGCATAGGTGCCAAGTATAGCTTTGTTGGGTCTCGCTTACTTCTGATCTGCCACCACTACACGCTACATGCTCACTTACTTAAGCCCTACTTCATTTTATGCTTACCGTCCCTGAACAGGCAAAACCAGGGGTATTTAGAAACAAGACTTTTCAAATATGTTTGTGCTAAGCAAAGTGAGATGATTTTTTTTAAGCTGATCAGAAAGCATGGCCCCACAGGCACCAATTATGGTACTAGTTAGTTAGTGATGCCATCACGACACACTTACAAATATGATGTTAAACACATGAAGACAAATAAGCTTTCGAAGCGTCTTATTTTTCCGATGTTTTACAGTTTGCAGTAGACAAGAAATCACTGTCTCTGGGCATGGTTAGGTTACTTTATGAACCAAATCTGGCTACGGCAGTTTTATTTTAAAAACAAAACTTACTTACTTGGTTTTCAACTACACATGTTGCTTTTCTCCCCTTTTCTGTGTACTTACGGACATGAATGTTGCCCGGGGATTCCTGAACATGGCCGGAATTGGGAGACAAGAACTGGAATAAAATCCGATCATCATTTGGAGCAGATACATGTGCTTTATAGTTGGTAACTTCTATGCATACTTGATACGACCAAGTGCAGAGGAAATAAGAATGTAGTAATGGCGCTGTTTTTCTCGTGAGTTCTGTTTTGTTAAAGGTGTTTCTGAAAGCCGCGTCTCTCGTGTACTGACAGCACCGAGGCCTGGGAGCTGCACTGTCCTTTTCTGACTGTGAAGTAAGCCCATCCATTATCAACATTTCATACAGTGGTTTGATAACTTTAGTCATGGTTTAAATAAAGCTATTTAAAAAAATGTATATATACACACATGCTTCATTCCTGAATATTTTATGGAAATAGTTTAATACTTCTAATTTTGCATATGGGTGGATAAATTGTAATATAATGAGATTGTTTAAAGATAATAAAGCTATTCCTGTAATACTTGGGTTTGTGAGCTCTTTGGTCATGCAGTGACAAGGGAATGAACCCATTGCTGTGTAGCACAATGGCAGGACAGACAGACACGCTTCACGTAGACCCCCATTAGATTCCAGCTGGTCACTGGACTTTGTCTTGTACCAGAAAATGCAATAGATCCTGACAGTATTTTGGAAGGCAAAACTGATGATGAGCTTGCCAAAAAGTGTGTGCTGAAAAGTTTTATGCTTTTGTGACTGAACCAAACCAGCATTGTAGTCACCATTCAAACGAGACTAATCTGGTTGTTATTTATGGAGTACACAAACCAACCAAGAGGATGCAAACACACCTGTGAAAAATGAGGGCAGGCAGTGGTTTAATTTCTAAAAGTTTGTAGATTGCAGCCATTGTTTAAGATACATTCATGTTTTTTTCCTGACATATTCTCCTGGAATAAACACTTGCTTAAATTACACTCTTCTTCAGTGAATTAAGCGAGCATCTTTACTGCATTAGGCAGGTTCTTTCTCCCCCTTCTGACCACATGTATGGAAACACATGTGTGGAGGCGGCATATAAATCAGCCTCTCCTACAGATGAGCTGTGTGAACTATGAAAACAAAGTTGTCCAAAAAGCAGCTGCCTGTACTTAGCTGCTAAAGCGCTCCAATGTGTACTCTTAAAACACGCCTACTCTCATAATGCTCTTTAGACCTGGAGAGCTCACGACTTCATATCTATCTTTTTAGTTTGCTTCCAGAACAATCAATCATTCTTCAAACACTCGAGAGTAAAGCCAGCCAGCCAAAAATTTGAAGCCATGGTCAGGCTTATACATGGGAAGACCCTTCTCAAAATAGTTTAGGTCAAACAATTCCTTTTTATATGTATGTTATTTCATACATTAAATATAGCAAAACCCCTTTAACAGACAGTTCGGATGGTCGTGGAGCAGACAAGAATGTTTTTCAGCTCTACATCTCCTAGCAGCAGCACGCCAGGCCCTGTAACAAGCAGCTGACTGGGGGCTAACGCACACAGGTGTCTTGTACTGCGCCAAGTCCCACTCCCAATTCTTTGTAAAATAGATAGGATTAGCTGAACTCATGCTGGCAAAGGCAAAAAAAAGAGAAAGAAAAAAAAAAAAGAAAGAAAAGGAACACTGATGGGTCGGCGCTGATTTCGGAAAGGAGGTTAGCCCTTCCGCCTACCCCTATGCTTTAGGTTCCCAGCTTTGCCCTCCCCTCCTGCTCCAGAGGGAAGCCCGCTGTGGTTTGGCTGGCACTGCCTGCTGGACAGAAGCACTTGCTTTGCCGCCATCATGACACCGTAGTATCTACAGAAAGCAACAGCTACAACCTGCAGCCTCTCAACGCACAGACCGAAGAGTTAGCGCTCACCTTTGGTGGTTGGTGTTGAATACGTTTAAGCCAGAGACGTCTGTCTTTGAGCTCTGCTGTACGGTCAAAAAGCTATCATCATCACCTTCGGTCACAAAGCTCTCATTTCTTTCAAGCAACGCCTGCCGGTAACTGAAGGAACGCAGACTACAGTAACAACTGCTGCTGGCTGTAACAGTTTAGAAGAAACTTCAAGTTTAAAAGTAAATTAATTTATAGCAACTGGGAAGAATACAGGGGCCAGAGCGGCAAGGGAAGTCAGGGCCACCAGCCTGCACACCTGGCAGCAGCACGTTTCTTTGACCCTGAAGCCATCAGTACGACTGAAGACCCCTGGCTGCTTAAACCTGCAGACACGCCTGAGACAATGTGAGTCCATTCTTGGTGGCAATGAGCGTTTATAGCTTATGCTGGGAAGATGAATGGGTATCATTCATTTGCAATTGTTAAGCTCTGGTTTACGTTTGTAAGAGCAGGGGGTGTTTTGATTACGAGATGGTTTCCCCTGCATAAAGATGGTTTCTTTTGCATAAAGGAAGCAGTGCATGTATGGAACATTTAAAGAAAAATCCCACATTGCTCTGTAATAGGGTGCTGGATCAAATACATCACTTATTTACCGCAGTGCTCTCATGAGTCCAAATGTTGCCCACAGATACCTATTAAGTAGTTAATGATCCATTTAAAATAGTAAATCCTCCAAACAGGATTTTAACTGAAGACCTTCAAATACAACACAGCTGGCTTAGTTTGCCATGCTGCTTCACACAAAGCCTTCCTTCCCTCCCTCCACACACTCAGCTTTGTCTCCTCTCCCAGTAGCCACATTCAGCCATTCAGAGCTACAGCCCTAGCCCAGTCTTCCAACCCAGCAGCAGGTAATGCGCAAAGCACGCGCCAAGCGACGGGTATCACAGCAGAGGACAGAGCACCAGCTCTTGGACTAGGCAGAATGCAGCAGACATCAAAACTAAGCTTAGCCAACTACTTCCAGGTATTAAAAAGGAGATGATACGTGTCTAGAAGCAGCATGCAAAGACTCTCATTACCGTAATATCCCACAATAAGGATTTCTTATTTGGTCTGCTTTTACCCTCTTTCCCCTCGTACATCAAATATACGCAAACATACCTGCAGTTCAGAGTCATTTTCCAATTAGAGTAGCACACCATGCATCGGAGCAGGCACTTGCGCAGCTCCTGTACGTAGCAGTTTGCTGCTGTAAGGAAAGCAATACAGTGATGGTGGCAGACAAGGACAGGAAGGCTGGCTAGTGTAGTTCCAGAATTCCTCTCCAAATTCTTTCACCTCCAGGTCAGTTCACCTTGTGAAGCCAGAGGTAACACAGACCCTCCCCAGAAATCCAGCCTCTCCCTTCCCGTAACAACTATCCTCTTGCATATTCCCATCAGTGGCTGGAACAACCTAGCTGTAACTAACTGCTGAGGGATACACTTCGTCATCAAAGGTGGAATTTGGCCAAAACATAGATGCAAATAATTCCTGGGGGAAAGAAAACTAGACTTAGTCATCTTGAGCAATTTATGAAGACTTTCCACCACTCTTCCCAACATCTGAGCAGTTGAGCATTTCAGCATTAATGAAGACAAGTAAGCACCACTGACATATGTATTTTATTTATTGAGTTACATTAGAGCGTGCCGTGCACTGAAGTGCATTACGCTTTACAATTCAGTGAACAAGTAAGGTTCAGTCATCAAGTCTCCTTAGACTGAAGGGGATCTGCAAGATAAAAAAAAAGAATATTAAGTTATGCTGGACAAACTTCGTGCTCTAAGCAAACCTGTTTGTATGTATGAATGCAAAGCAAGAGAGAGAAATGTTTATGTGGTGGTTTAGTCTAGAGGAATTCCCCGTTATTTCCTGATGGTTTAAGATTCACACACCCTTCATGTGGCAAACAGAAGTGAAACATGGAACAAATCAAGAGCTGGAATAAGGCTGCGCAGCACATCAGATTCACTATACATGCGGCCCTGATAACTGAATCAATCTTGCTGAGGGCCTGAAAGAGAAAGGAATGCAGCTTTCAGATAGGAGCCAGAGAGGAAACAAGTGGTGTAGGCAACCTACCAAGGAAGGAAGAAAACCAAACTCAAATTGCTTCTCCACATTATATTGAACACAATCCAAGACCAGCTGCACTCCATGACAAGAGTCATGCAAGTGGTTAGCACCGAACTCGTAGCTTGGCCCTTTGTTGTGTCACTGAGCAGAGTGCAGAGGTCGGGGACTCCCCACATTTACACTTGCACTCGGTTTCCATTATCAGTACCAGCAGGTGACGCAGTGTAAACTCACGCTTAGGTACCAAGCTGCCCGCGCCCAGCAGGAACACACCTGGTACGGAGTGCCAAGCTAACACCTTAACTAATGAATTCGCCTCCCTGCCTACCCTACCCTACCCTTCCTGGAGTACTGATTCCAAAGTGAGTATTCCGTGAGGTTAAGCCACTGCATTTACTGCCACATACAGTATCACATTCTGATAAAATGGGAGATGTAGAGCATGCATGACCACTGTACCCTTTAGGTAACTATACCCAAAAAAGCATCAAATTCAACCTCCATCCAACTTCCGCAGCCAAGATTTAAGCTACTGAGGCAAATGAAAATGTCTTCCATCTGTTCTGTGTACTTGTCCTTTTCACAGTCTTTGCAGAACACTTGCAATACTGGCGTTGGTTTCCCGTTATTCTACTTACGTATTCATGTGCAGGCATAAAAACCCCCTCTTTTTACTATGAAGGAGTGAAAAATATCAGTTCTCATATAAATAGGCGAAGGAGTAAGAAGCATCAGCAATTCAAACCAAATCATATATAAAGATTTGTCCCTCACATTTTCTTTTGAGCTGGTGTAATTAAGGAACGGAAGAAATGTTTAGGAAATGTTTAATTTTAACAGGTGCACACAATGTGCAACTTTTTTTTTTAAGCTGCAAATGGGAACATAAGCTCACTGAGAGTGGAGCTCTATGTGCACTGAAAAAAATCCTGCTCATGATTCCAATTAAATATTCAATATGCATCCTTGTTGACAGTGTTTGTTTCAAATGATTTTACCACCAGATGGCCTTTCAGAATTCTCTGATGGAGGCCACCTGACTAAGGAATGCAATTCCAGTGTCTAAGAAAGTTTTAAAAGTGCCCATATTATCAGCAGCAGGACCGAACCAGAGGCAGAATTACCAAGGTTAAAACCAGGTAAATTTATCATTTCATTATTTATCTTTGCTGCAGTCATAGCTAAAGAACAGAATTTTCCCCCCCTCACAAAAAAAATACCAAGGGGACTGCCACAGGGGTTTTTTTTCCTTATTAAATCTGTTAGAAGAGCTGGAGCTACGCTTCTTTTTTTTTTAATGTAACTGTGTTATGCAGAAACCAGGTAGTTGTAGATTGCCACACAACAGAATTTAGTATTAGTAGTGTTAAATACAAATTTTTTATTCAATCTTGCTGCTTTAAGCAAACAGGCTGAGAAAATCCAGCTGGCCAGGATAATTAGAGCCACAGATTATCACGTAATGATCACAGTATGAAAACATTCCAAAAGAATGAAAAAGCTATCATTCTAGATTAGTTTGAAGTCATTTTAAGAAAGGCAGAGAACTCAGTGTAAGAAATTTGGACCAAGGAAGGGGGAGGAATTCTTTATTGAGTTGTCGCATCATGAGCCTGTGCAGTTTAGTGAGTGTGCTTATTAATAACTACAACAAGGTTGAAATCAAGACTTTTCCCGGTGTTATGACAAGTAAGGCAGAACAAAGTTTGGTGGTCTTCAAACAAAAGGCAGTGCCAAGTGCTAGGAAAATAGTATTATGAACAAACTTCTACTCAAGCTTAATTCAGTATGGCAACAATCTGAATATTAGTACACAGAGCTGTATGCCATTGCAAATTTTTTTATATATGTGTGTGTATATTTAAATATATTTTCCCTCCTGACTAGTTATCTTCCCCCTCTCACCAACTTCAAAAGACAAAAGGATGTGTGGAAGCTGTCTCTGTTTCTCACATTAAGATGCATGCTATGAGAGAGAAACGGCCTCTCCATTTTCTCATTCACTGTACCCCCACAAGTGCGTAAGTAGTAGATGTGCACAGCCCGAAGCCAAGATGTGACAGCATCAACATAACACTGGTATCAGGCAAGCCTTATCATTTAATACAAGAGCTTTGTCCCTTTCCATGGCTGCGTGAGGAGGGAAAGGCCTGGCATTACTCTGTGCAAGTCTCCTACATCACACAAATTACCCAAAAGGTATTCAGGAGCTTTCCATTCTGCCATTACTCCCCGCTCCCCAGTTCCCGTATTTCTTCATATTTTTATTACCCGGAGGTCTCTCAAGTGCAATTTGTATTCTTTTTCTTTGGCAGCACCTTTCTATTTGATCAAAAAGGAAGAACCTCCAAACAGAAGCACAATGTTTCCCTGCAACAGTCTAACTTACTCTCTCGTTCTAATGCAGAGTAGCTTATTACCTGTAAATGCAGGTTACCATCACTTGGGTGGTGCAGACTCAAACACGCCAGCTGCCCTCATGGCTTCAAAGTCCTTCATGGGATCATAGCTTTTATAGAACTCCGCATAAGCTCGTTTCCTGGGATCAGCAACTCCAAACTGGAAAGTTACACAAAGAAAATTAAAGCTTGCAAAGCTTTACGAACAGAATTTTTTTCCTATTAGTGCTATGATTTGTATCGGTGGGTATCAGTCTAAAAAGCCTTTAGCTCAAAATAGTACAATATTACATTGTTCCTGTTCCTGTCCACAGTTCAGACTAGCTGACCACTGGTCGGCAAAACAGATGTCTTAAGTGAAGCCTTAAAAAGAAAGTCCAAGACAGCACATTACACTTTTAAGATCCAGAAACACTCCACCTATATTGACGCTCAAGTGTCCAACGCCCTCCCTGCTAATAGTTTTACACACAAAACATGCCGTTACGGCAGGTTTTGTGCCTGCAGGCAGCTGCAAAACCGTAACTCCAGATAAAATGGCATCCTAACCCAATATATTACATTTGAGCTACACTGTAGGTCAACTACGGAAGCCTTCTAAAATTTTACAAGAGTGCCAAGCTACTCTTACAGCTCACCAATGTAACAAGACACAATCATGACTCCGGATACTCATTCACCTGAAGCACAGGGATGTGCTCAAAAAGCCACCAAAACCATGAAGGAAAGTCCAAGGTGGGTTTATCCAATGGTATCTAACAGGTAACTAAGTAAATGCCTTCTTTGCTTCAGTCTTTACTGACAAGGCTGGCCTTCAGGCTTCCCAGTCCCTGGAGGTAAGCGAGCAAGCCTGGAGAAAGGAAGACCTTCCCTCGGTTGAAGTGGATCAGATTAAGGATCCTTTAAGGAAGCTGGACACCCACAAATCCATGGGTCCCAATGGAATGCACCCAGGAGTGCTGAGGGAGCTGGCAGACGTCATTGCTGAGCCACTCTCCATCATCTATGAAAGGTCCTGGAGAACAGGAGAGGTGCCTGAGGACTGGAGGATAGCCAATGTCACTCCAGTCTTCAAAAAGGGCAAGAAGGAGGACCCAGGGAACTACAGGCCGGTTAGTCTTACCTCTGTCCCTGGAAAGGCATTGGAACAACTTATTCTGGGTGTCCTCTCCAAGCAAGTGGAGGAAAAGAAGATCAGGAGTACCCAGCACGGATTCATCAAGGGGCAATCATGCCTGACCAATCTGATAGCCTTCTATGATGGCATGACCAGCTGGGTAGATGAGGGGAGAGCGGTGGATGTTGTCTCCCTTGACTTCAGCAAGGCTTTTGACACTGTCTCCCATAACATCCTCATAGGGAAGCTCAGGAAGTGTGGGCTGGTTGAGTGGACAGTGAGGTGGATTGGGAACTGGCTGAAAAGTTCACTGATGACACAAAACTGGGAGGAGTGGCTGATATGCCGGAAGGCTGCGCTGCCATTCAGCAGAACCTGGACAGGCTGGAGAGTTGGGGGAGAGGAACCTGATGAAATTCAACACGGGCAAGTGTCAAGTGCTGCACCTGGGGAGGAGTACAGACTGGGGACTGACCTGCTGGAAAGCAGCCCTGCCAAGAGGGACCTGGAAGTCCTGGTGGACGACAAGCCGACCGTGAGCCAGCAGCATGCCCTTGTTGCCAAGAAGGCCAATGGTATCCTGGGGCGCATTAAGAGGAGTGTGGCCAGCAGGTCAAGGGAGGTTATCCTCCTCCTCTCCTCTGCCCTGATGAGACCCCACCTGGAGTGTTGTGTCCAGTTTTGGGCTCCCTGGTTCAAGGAAGATGAGGAACTCCTAGAGAGAGTCCAGAGGAGGGCAATAAAGATGATTAGGGGACTGAAGCATCTCCCCTATGAGGAAAGGCTGAGGGAGCTGGGCTTGTTTCAGCCTGAAGAAGAGAAGACTGAGAGGGGATCTCATCAGCGCTTACAAATATCTTAAGGGTGGATGTCACGAGGATGGAGCCAGACTCTTTGTAGTGGTGCCCAGTGACAGGACAAGAGGCAATGGGTACAAACTGAAGCATGAGAGGTTTCAGTTGAATATGAGGAAAAACTTCTTTACTATGAGGGTGACAGAGCACTGGAACAGGCGGCCCAGGGTGGTTGTGGAGTCTCCTTCTCTGGAGATATTCAAAACCCGCCTGGATTATGTCCTGTGCAACTTGCTCTAGGTGAACCTGCTTTAGCAGGAGGGTTGGACTAGATGATCTCCCAAGTTCAATGGGCAAGCCAAGATCCAGTTCTTCCACAGTAATTCAAACTGTGTTGCTTGCTTTGTGTATGAGATCCAAGAATTATTTAGTAAGGGCACTCAAGAACAACTACCACTCTTATCTTTGTCAGAAGTCTCTTAAGGACCACAAAAACCAAACTCCAATCAGTAAGTGGTTTTGTTTTTTTTTTTTAAATGTAATGCTCCATTTCCACAAGATACTTCAAAAGAAAGGATAGAAGGACCACACCAGCCTTCCCCACACCGATATCTTCAGCGTGAAGGACAGGTTTTCCAAACTGCTTATAATTAAGTTTCCTGACATCAGTCTAGAGATAAAACAAGGCTTTGCCAACTCTCTCGAGTCTCAGATACCATGAGAGAGAGAGGTAGACTATCTAGAGTTAATGTGCATCAATTGTGTGGATGATCAAGAGTAGTCTAGGATTAGGAGACTCAAGGTTAAATTGTCACAAATTGCGTGATTTGATCACACAGCTTAAAGCACTGGGTTATTAATACCATTTCTTCAAATGAAGATTAGGAAGACTTATTTATGTTCTGGAAACATGCTTACAAAAATACAGTACTAAAGCCTTCTGATTAACAGCTCAACCAAATCTCAACAAAAAAACATTAATTCTTAAAACACTCTAATCAGTCCAGTTTATAACTGAATGACTACAGAGCTCACCTTGTATAAAGCTGCACATCCCACAGATACAAAAAATGCCCCAAACAGGTGAAACTTCATCCGCCTGGCCAAGAGGCGCCGCATTTGTGGCTTAGGCAATAGTGCAGACGACATGGTGACTGTATTTCCTAAAAGAAGAAAGAAAACAGACAATAGAATTGTGGGAGAAGGAGCTCTACTCAAATTATTTCCTGCAACTCTAATCTAGAAGGGTTGTGCTTTTCGTATTGTGTAATAATCATCTTCACAACATAAGTAACAGCGCTCCTCCCTATTTGACTTTTGAATGAGAGTATTTAAGGGACAACATTCAAGGACAACCTGTTTATGACATGAATCTATGTAAGCTTTTACACTCCTTACATCCAGTACTCATGGAATCAAGGCTGGCCTTTGCTGTTCATACTAAACCCTTCCCTCCCTGCAGGGTCTGCCATTTCAGGCCTGCTGCTTACGTCAGAAGACATTCAGAACATCGATCACTTTGTATTCATTCTTAAGGAAAAGCACACGCCTCTCGGACTAGCCTGTGGTTTGTCTTTCTAAAGTAACTGCACACCCTACCGCATTAAAGGATTTCGTTTCTTCTATCCGGTAAGATTTCACTAAAAGCCTGCGAGGCCTGAAGCAGGCGGCTCTTCGCACAGGCGTGGAAGGTTCCCCCGGCTGGGAGCGGCCGCAGGGCAGCGCTGCCCGCAGGGTCCTGCC